ATCTCCAGGCACTGTCCTGGGCCTGCAGCCGCAGCTGCCCTAAAATTCCTGGGAAGACCTTGGGAAAGGGTTCCACTCCTCTCTCGGACTGTGGCAGGAGGAGCAGGGCCCTCCCTTGGGACCCCAGAATCCTAGCATCCCGAGACGGAGAAGAGCAAACATCTCTTCTTGGACAACGCAGATGTTTGGGAGCTTCTGGGACCGGATCACACGGCCTGTGAGGTCACACTCGGGGTCGGGTCAGAGCGGTGCCATGCTGATGGGAAGAAAGAGAGGAAACCCCAGAAAATGGGCTTGCCCACTGGGTCACAGCCAGGAAGACAGGGGTTCAGAATGGACATGGTTTCCAGGTGACCTTCCAGGGGGCAAAGTGGAAGCCAGAACCTGGCCCGGGTGTGTTCTGGGGCCTAGAATCATCCCTGAAACACCAGCGCCCGGGGCTCTCACCCAACTGGGATAGGGCAGGGCTGAGACCCAGGAGGCCAAGGCTGCCTGGCAATCCCTGAGGTCTTGAACTACACTGCCATGAAGCAAACCAGGATGACCTGTTGCCAGGCGTCACCCACCCCAGCCCAGGCCCAGTCTGCCCTCAGCAGCCAGGGCACACCCTGCCCTCAGGGACACACCACATCTCCTCACCCACCCTTCTGCCTGTCTGGTAAGGAGGGAAGAGTGGGGTGAATGTGGCTGAATCAGACATGCAAAATCTGATTCACATTCCACAGACCACAGAGGTGAGATCTCCAATTTTTGCCACTAGCTTGGGAAGAAAATTGGGGCCGATTTCTTTTGAAGGAAAAAGAAAGTATGTGGTCAAACTATGAGCTCAAAGCTCTGAGACGGGACAGGCTGGGCTTTCCCCCTGGACACAGCCAGCACCCGGTGTCCTGGTGTATCTCAGGACAAACCTGGTGGCTGCTTACATTGAGTAGGGGCCTGAGGCCCTGGCCAGAAACTCAGCCTGGGGACACCTGAGCAATGAACTGGAGGGCAGCGGGGGTTTCCTCCAGCTATCAGCGGTCTGGGGGTCCCCAGAGAGCCAGGCTACCAGACACTCATTTACCCATCTGTCCTTCACACTGAGGTTTGATATTGCATGGATAAGTGCCCTATCGTCGGCCAGGCTGAAGCCTGGAACTCCTGCGTGATGGGAAGGGAGGCAGAAGCTCCCACTGGCTCCACTCAGGAGCCTGATTGTGGCCCAGGTGCCAGGGGAGGGACGGAGCCCCTGGTCTCCCACTTTGGAGGAGCCGGAAGTGAGCAAGGTAACTGCTTGGGGCGTGCCTTCACCCCGTAAACTACCAGACCTACTACCTCGGGAAGTGGGATCTCCCCAGGGCCTGTGTAGATGTCTCTCAGCCAAGACTTTCCCTAAATTCTCCAGCACCAGGTCTATCAAACTGGCTGTGGGGGTCCTGCCGATGCGGTTATGGAGCACTGACGTCAGTAGGGTTCACCAGTCAGCCCCTCCCACCACAGTTCAGATCCTCCTTGTTACTTCGCTCCTCAGTTTCCCCCAAATTCTCTAGTCTTGCCTTAAGACTGCTGTAAAATTCCTCCTTCAAAACTCTCCCTCAGGCCAGGCATGGTGGCTGACACCTATAATCCCAGCACTTTGGGAGACTGAGGCGAGCAGATCACTTGAGGCCAGGAGTTTGAGACCGGCCCGGCCAACATGGCAAAACCCCATCTCTACTAAAAATACAAAAATTAGCCAGGCATGGTGGCATGAGCCTGCAGTCCCAGCTACTCGGGAGGCTGAGGCAGGGGAATAGCTTGAACTGGGAGGCAGAGGTTGCAGTGAGCTAAGATAGCACCACTGCACTCCAGCCTAGGTAACAGAGCCAAGTCTCCATCTCAAAAAAATAAACAAATAAAATACCCTCACTCTGCCCATCCCCTGCCCGAATGTGTCCACAGCAGGTAGGGTCCCCACAGCCCACTCCCCGGGGGGGACTCACCCAAGGCTGCGCTTGAACACCCTGCAGAACGTTACAGAGGCCCTGGGGAGAGTGTACACACCCTCCAAGTATGACGTTGCCCACACACCGCAGACCCAGCAGGCCAGACAGGGACTGCCCAGAGGCGAGCCCGCAGCTCCTCTCCCGTGTTCAAGGACTTCTTCCCTCGATGAGAATCCTCCATTCAAACTAGCTCAGCAACACAGCAAGGAAGTGTCGCTGCTCCTTCTGGATGACTCACGCTGGTGTTCAACCCTCTCTATTCCAAACCCACCAGAGGACACAGAGGGCCTTGGAGCCAACAACACAAACCACAGCCGGAGGCTGGAAATCTGAACTCAAGGTACCAGCAGGGCCACGTTCCCTCTGAAGGCTCCAGGGAAGGGCCCTTCCTTCTCTTCCACGGCCCTGGCAGCTCCCTGGAGCCCTTGACATTCCTTGGCTTGCAGTCGCATGGCTCATCTTGCCTCTGCCTTCACCTGGCCGTCTTTTCCCTGTGTCTCTCTCTTCTCATGACACCAGTCATACTGGATTAGTGGCCCACCCTACGCCAGTATAACCTCATCTTAATGAAGATCTGCAATGACCACATTTCCGAGTAAGGGCATGATCTGAGGGACTGGCGGTTCAGACTTCAACCTATCTCTGGGGGACGCAATTCAACCTATAACAGCATGGTTTACAGTAGAAGATGAGCACAGGGCATGCCCCCATCCCCTCTCTCATTCTTCCTCCACCGTCTACCTTCTGCAATGAAAACCCGCATCCAGGTCAGGCACGGTGACTCACGCCTGTAATCCCAACACTTTGGGAGGCTAAGGCGGGCGGATCACCTGAGGTCAGGAGTTCAAGACCAGCCTGGCCAACGTGGTGAAACCCTGTCTCTACAAAAATTAGCCAGGAATGATCGTGGGCACCTGTAATCCCAGCTACTCGGGAGGCTGAGGTGGGAGAATGGCTTGAACCTGGGAAGCAAACATTGCAGTGAGCCGAGATCGTGTCATTGCACCCCAGCCTGGTGACAGAGCTCCATCTCGAAAGAAAAGAAAAGGAAAGAAAAGAAAAGAAGGAAGAAAGAAAGGAAAGAAGGAAGGAAGGAAAGAAGGAGGAAGGGAGGGAGGGAAAGAAAATCGTATCCCAGGTCCGGTGCGGTGGCTCAGGCTTATAATCCCAGCACTTTGGACTTTGGGAGGCCAAGGCAAGCATATTGCCTGAGTTTAGCAGTTCAAGACCAGCCTGGCCAACATAGTGAAACCTCATCTCTCAATTAGCCAGGCATGGTGGTGGGTGCCTGTAGTCCCAGCTGCTCCAGAGGCTGAAGCAGGAGAATTGCTTGAACTTGGAAGGCAGAGGTTGCAGTGAGCTGAGATCCCACCACTGCACTCCAGCCTACGTGACAAAGTGAGACTCCATCTCTGGGAGCCCACGGCATGGAGCAGACCTGGCATTATTAGCAGCAAGAGCCTCTGGCATCCAAATAGCAACCAACACCACAGCTCTGTAGCGGGCTGTGCAGCCTCCTCTCTGGTCGGTGGCTCCCTGTTTGAGTACCGCCCTATGCCCAGCTGAGGTTATAGCATGCCCACCTCCAGAAGAGGTAACCCACACTTCTTACGGGAGATCAACTCTGTCCCCACTCAGGGCACTTCTCCCAGCTGCCAGAAAATAGCTCCAGCTGGTGTCAAAAAAAACACAGAGCTGGGGGCTGGTGTGCAAAGTCAGTCCCCACAGGCCTAGGGTGGCCCATAAGCCAGATCTGCCCCTGCTCCTCACCTCCACACCTAAGTTAAGAAGTGCAGGCCGGGCACAGTGGTTCATGCCCGTAATCCCAGCACTTCGGGAGTGTAGGAAGAGGAGGATCACCTGAGGTCGGGAGTCTGAGACCAACTTAGCCAACATGGTGAAACCTCGTCTTTACTAAAAATACAAAAAAAGTAGCCGGGTGTGGTGCTGCGCACCTGTAATCCCTGCTACTCAGGAGGCTGAGGCAGGAGAATCGCTTGAACCAGAGAAGCAGAGGTTGCAGAGAGGTGAGATCGCACCACTGCACTCCAGGCTGGGCGACAGAGTGAGACTCCGTCTCAAAAAAAAAGGTGCGGGTACCCCTCTCCAGCTCTCCTCTCCCTAAACAGCCCTCAGACAGTCCCTCTGTAAAGCACCCGTCCTGTTCCTTGGTAACCTGAAGCTGCTTACAGAATGTGGAGACGGGGGTAATGGAAAGGGCGGCCCACGTCACAGAGCCCCTGAGCTCTGCTACTGGCAACCCCAGACGCACTTCCCACCCTCTGTCACCAGACGCTGCCGGGTGCCTGGGATATCCTGGCAGTTCTGCTCAAAATGATCCACGACTTCATGAATTCATTTGGCTCCTCCTCCGGGCCAGGATGAGTGTCACAGGTTAAGAAGGCCCGCCCCGCCTTCAGGAGCGGTCCACTGGGAGATGTGAGCTGCGCTCTCCCCTGGTGGGACGTTCTGGGTACAGCCCGACAGGCCAGGGTGATCCAGGGTCAAAGTCCCCGCACCAGCCAGAGGCCGCGAAGCACCTCAGCTCACTTGTGCTGCAACGCGAGTGTGGGTCGGTTAACAAAACTATGTTCAGATGAGCTCGGGCCGGGTGCCTTAGCAGAAGCGTAACGGTCTGGGCGCTATCCGCGGAGGCGCAGCCCAGGGGTCCCCAGTTCCCCGCCTCGCCACCTGGGGACCGCCCACGGCCCGGAGCTCCGGCGCCGCCTGCTGTCGCGCTGCGCAGCGGCTACGGGGAACGCGTCCGCAGCAGGCGGGCTCCCCGCGGCCCGCTCCCCCGGGGGCAACCAAGCCCGCGGCTGGCGACCACAGGGGATCGGAAGATGTGGCCCACGCCCACGGAGCCGGGCCGGTGTTGCTCCGGGAGGCTGTCCGTGCCTTGGAGCCAACCCCGCGGCTCTGCGCGCCCTCGGGGAACAACCAGCTCCTAGCCGGTGGCTTCGAGGGGGCGGCGGGAAGGAGGGAGGAGCCTGCGGGGTCCCGGTCTAGGGAGGGGAGAGTGGGCGGGGCGGTTCCTGCGCTCTCCCTCGCCTGCGGGCTGGCCCTGCTCACCTCTCGTCTGGGGACATGACGGGCACGGCAGGCGCCACTGCCACCAGGGATGGCGAGGCCCCCAAGCGCTCCCCGCCCTGCAGTCCGAGCTACGACCTCACGGGCAAGGTGGGTGGGCCTTCTCCGTGAGACCCCCGCCCTCCTCGGCGCAAGCCCCTTCCTGGCTGCGTCTGGGTTGGACTCAGCCCTTCCCCCGCAGGTATCTGGGTCTCCCAGAGGTGGAAGGGAGAGAGGGTCAGGACACAGCCCCTGGGGAGAGGGGTCTCTGCTGGTTGGGTGGGAGCGGGGCGCGGAAGATCGCCAGGGCTGAGTGATCCCCCCGCCGGCCCCAACTCAGTTCCCTTCTGCCGCACAATGGCCGAGTTGAGCCCCCGGGAGCCCGTGCTTCTGGGTGTGGGTTAAGCGCGCAACTCTCATGTCTGGGAAGCGCTGGGAGATGGAGGCCGCACGGAGACTCGGAGAGGACGTCCCCTGCTGGCGGAGCAACTGGCGGTAATGCCATTTTCCGAGCTAAGCTCTGAGCTGAGACCTGACATCCAGGTTTGAGGCCTGAGGTCCTCCAGCTGCTCCCCTCCCTTTCCACCCGCTTCAGGAACTGCCTCCCCACATTCCTCTCTCAATCCGAAGCCCCTCCCAGAAGGAGGTTGCCAGCCGGCCTGCAGCCCACCTGGGAATTCTTCCAACCTGAGAAAGATCTCAGTGGATGGTCTCTCACATCCCGCCCTTGAGAGAGCTCCTGGGCTGCTCTCTGGGGCTTGCTCCCTCTGCAGGAGTGCCCTGTATGGAAGCGGGTGGGGGCAGCAGTGGACACTGGTCTGTCGCTTTCCATCTGTGTCCTTAGAGTGAGCAGGTACCAGAAACTCTGAAAGAATTGCTGAGGGAGCCTAGAGCTTCCACTTCTCCTCTGCAGGGTTAGGGGTGGTGTGAGAGCTATCCTGGATTCTGCTGCATGGCCTTGAAGGAGACCTGCCTCTCTCTGTGCCTCGGTTTCCTCCCCAACACCAGGGCTCACCCTTGCTGGAAGCCTCAGCCTCCACCCCAGTGTTTCAGGGGAAGCCACTCAGCAAGTCATCTGCCCAGAGCCGTTGAGATAGGCGTCCTGTGTGGGCTTGTGGCAGGAAATGGGCCCCTGCACCCTCGGGGAAGGGGGAGCTGCTGCTGCCCAGGCCCCAGGCTGAGGGGGACTGCCTGACCTTGTTGCCCTGCAAACCAGCTGGGTTGTTTGCCTAGGAGGTGGCCAGGCTAGGCAGCTGTTTGTGTTTGGTGGAATCACCAAGCTGGGTGGGTAGCTGGCATCGTTTGCTCAAGGCAGCTGTGATCTGTAAAGTACACAAAGACTGGCCCTCCCTCCCTCCTTCCCGCTCCAGGGCTGGAACCCAGGAGCCAGGGAGGAGTGCAGGCTCCGGAGATCTCCTATTCCCCACCAGGCTATCTGTTCCCAGGCCAAGCAACATTGGCAGGAGAGTTGGTCCCCAGCCTCCCCGGAACTGCCCCAGGGGACTGAGCCCAGGACCCTCTGAGAGGAGCCTGGCAGGCACTCGTTGGACCAGATGGGTGATGGGGGCCATAGGCAGGCGGTTCCCACCCCTGGGCCAACTCTTCCCTGGGTCTTAGGTGGTTCACACCATGATGATTGGCCCTAGCCATGACCAGACTCTAGAAAGGCCTCAGAGAAATTATCCCTCCTCCTTCTACCAACTATGGAAACCATGCCACAGAAAGGTTAAGGAAATCGTCCTGAAGTCACACAGTAGGCCATTTGCAAACCAAGACCCATCCTTCATACCCATTCTGCTCAGCCGCCCCTGCCTCTCCACTAAAGTTAACTAATCCCAGTAACGCCATGCCAACAGCAGGAATGCCTTTGGGCTCCACAGTCAAATTCAGAGCCTCAAAAATAATTCAAACCTAGTCCCCACTCAACCCATGAAGCCATCTAACCAGCAGTTGGGAAAATCCAGCATTAGGTCTAGACCCCTGTTCTCCGAGACTGGGGAATGACGGGACAAAGGGCTCCCTTCCACCATTCCTGCGTGTCCCTGGAGAAGATGAGCAGAGCCTCACCAGACAGTAATGGAGAGGGCCACATCACTCCATAGGTTCCCTCCCTGGCATTCCTGCCCCCGCTACCCACAGCAACCCCAGGATGCCCACCTGCAGCCATGTGTCCCACATGGAAGGTTTCTGCTGAAAGAACTTCCGACTACACATCTCCCCACTTTAGTATAAATTTCAACCTTCCCTAATTCATGCAGTTTTTTTCTTTTTGAGATGGAATTCTCCTCCTGTTGACCAGGCTGGAGCGCAATGGCTTGATCTCAGCTCACTGCAACCTCCGCCTCCTGATTTCAAGCTATTCTCCGGTCTCAGCCTCCCGACTAGCTGGGATTACAGGAGCATGCCACCATGCCGGCTAATTTTTGTATTTTTGGTAAAGATGGGGTTTCATCTTATTGGTCAGGCTGGTCTAGAATTCCTGACCTCAGGTGATCCGCCCACCTCAGCCTCCAAAAGTGCTGATTATAGGCATGAACCACTGTGCCCAGCATTTTTTTTTTTTTTTTTTTTGGAGACAGAGTCTCACTCGGTCACCCAGACTGGAGTGCAGTGGTGCAATTTCGGCTCACTACAACCTCCGCTTCCTGGGTTCAAGCTATTCTCCTGCCTCAGCCTCCCAAGTAACTGGGGTTACAGGCATGCACCACCACTTCCAGCTAGTTTTTTGTATTTTTAGTAGAGATGGGGTTTCACCATGTTGGCCAGGCTGATTTAAACTCCTGAGCTCAGGTGATCCGCCCATCTTAGCTTCCAAAGTGCTAGAATTACAGACAAGAGCCACCACACCCAGCCTTATGCAATCTTTTAATAAACATAAAATGTCATTAGAAACTTCCAAATAAATGTCGCAACCCCCCCAAAAAAAAACCCAAACAACAGTCGTTACAGAATATGCAAATGACCACACCCCACCCCCAGCAGATCTTGATAGACTCCCTTGGGTGGGAATCCTTGTCCAAGATATTGACACTTCCTTTCCTATCAGTGTAGCCCAGCCCATGCGTGTACTCACGAATGGACAAGGGATGACACGAGTACACAGAGGGGTGGAATCTCTGCACGATGTGGCTATGGGCAAGTGTGGCCAGCATCTAGACTGTGCAAATGTGGTGTTTCTCTGGGGCCACCAAGCACACCTGGGGACCTATTCATGATGAGGTCTCAACTCAGGCTTCCAGGAACTTGAACGAGGGCACGAGGGTCAGAGGGAGAGCCTAGGAGGCTGAGCCAAGGAGCTCGGAGAGGAGAGGCAGGGTGAGGGTGGCGGCAGGCTTTCTGGAAGCAGGTGCCCCTTGGTGTGGTCAGCATCCATGCCAGCACCCACTTCTCCTCTGATCCTCTCCATGTGTCCCTCCTGGAATCCCAGAAGCTCCCTCTGACTCCCTATTAACTGCCTCTGCCCCACCTCCTAGGTGATGCTTCTGGGAGACTCAGGCGTCGGCAAAACGTGTTTCCTGATCCAATTCAAAGATGGGGCCTTCCTGTCCGGAACCTTCATAGCCACTGTCGGCATAGACTTCAGGGTGAGGTGGTTGCAGGCACCTGCTTCCAGCAGCGAGCCAGGGCTGTGGCTCAGGCACAGAGGGTTGCCCTCCCACTGCTCACCCTGGCTCCCAGGGACCCCGGAGGCTCAGGGCTGGAGGGCACACAACCCACTCCCCCAGGATCACAGAGGTGGCCGGGTCAAAGTAGACTGGGCAGGGTTGCCTTCTTGCCCAACTACAGGATGCAAGAAAACAAGACTGAGTCTTCATGTCCACCTCCATTCCTGGGGGACTTCTCCTAAGCAGGGCAGTCACACACACAGCATAAGCAGAAAGTCTTGGCCTTCAGAGCCCCTGCTCCTTGCCCTCCTGTCTGCGCCCCTTTGGCAAGACCTCAAAAGTCAAGCAGTCTTTCTGGAGTTCCTGGAAAGCACAGCCCTGCTCTGGGGTTTAGGAACTGGGCTTGGCCCAGTGCAGTGGTTCACACCTGTAATCCCAGCACTTCAGGAGGCCAAGGCAGGAGGATCACCTGAGGTCAGGAGTTCAAGACCAGCCTGGTCAACATGGTTAAACACTGTCTCTACTGAAAATACAAAAAAAAATTGCCAGGCATGGTGGCGTGCACCTGTAATCCTAGTTCAAACCAGTAAAAAAAGAAGTAAAACTAGTTAAAAAAAAAAAAAAAAAAAAAAAGAAGCAACACCAGGTCTGGTGGCTTAAGCCTGTAATCCCAGCACTTTGGGAGGCTGAGGTGGGTGGATCATGAGGTCAGAAGTTCAAGACTAGCCTGGCCAAGACACTGAAACCCCATCTCCACTAAAAATATAAACATTAGCCGGGCATGGTGGCAGGCATCTGTAATCTCAGCTACTCGGGAGGCTGAGGCAGGGAATTGCTTGAACCTGAGAGGTAGAGGTTGCAGTGAGCCAAGATTGCACCACTGCACTCCAGCCTGGGCGACAAAATGAGACTCCATCTCCAAAAAATAAAAAAATAAAAAAAATAAGAGCTGGCTGGCCACGTGGGGAAACAGCTGCTCACCAGGGACCCTCCCTCTTACCTTGACGACTCCATCTTACAAATCCTCGTCAGAGATGCTGAGTGCTACACACCCAAAGCATCCAATAGAGCAAAGATCTTACCCTGGCAGGTGGGGCTCTACAGCTTCAAGCAGGCAGAAGGCAAATGCTTCCTTCCCTAGAGAATTAGTGGGCAGCTAGAGGAAAGATGCCGCTGCAGATGTAGCCTCGGGTCCCCAGGATGCAGGCAAGCACCCCATCTGCAGGGGGCTCAGTCACAGTCCCAGGCCAGGCTCCAGGAGAGGAAGACCAAAGTGAAAAAACGGGCAGGGCCTCCAGCAGCACCCAGGCCTCCAGCCCTGAGCTGCCTGATCCCTGGAGAGAGCCAGGAAGTTTCTCAGGCTGCTCTTGCCCTGCTATTGTGTGAAGGGCAGACACAGTCCCCAGAAGAGAGGACTCCACAGTGGAGGTGTCTGGGGACGGGGTTCCAGCTGCCCTGATGGTATGATCCGGCTGGAGATGGTTCTGGGGCTCGCTGCACCCACTCTAGGCCTGGAGAGGGACCAAGGACAGGTTGTCTGCAGAGCTGAAGAGCCACCCGACTCCTACCCTCCCAGCCTCTGCCTGTTTCTCTTTCAGAACAAGGTGGTGACCGTGGATGGCATGAGGGTGAAGCTGCAGGTGAGACCAGAGGCTGGGGTTAGGGAGGGACGGTGGCGGATCTGCCCTTGCTTCTCACCCTGAACCACAGGAGGCCTGCAGCCCTGCCCTCTGCCTGGGGTAATTTCCTGTGGGGCCCACGAGAGGAAATGGGTTTTGTTTGTTTGATGTCTGCAGAAAAAGCAGTTCCCAGGCGTCCTCTCCTCTCTGAAAGGCAACTTAAAATGCCTTCAGTCAAGCTTAGCCTCCATCCGTCTCCTCCCCAGCTGCCTGAGCTTTGTCTGCTCTTAGGAGGTGGGACATCCCCAATCCCTGGGCTGGGGGAGAGCAGATGATTCTGAATGAGCTTGAGAACTCAGTAACTGCTACTCTCCAGGTCATCGGATGCTCAGGAGCTCATGAGAACCTAAAGAAGGAAACAGCCCCACCTTCCCATAGACATCTCATACCACCAAGCAGGCCCCCTCCACCCAGCACAGTCCTTGCACCCTGCCTCCTTCTAACCATCTCTCCATCTCTTCCCAGATCTGGGACACCGCCGGGCAGGAACGGTTCCGAAGTGTCACCCATGCTTATTACAGAGACGCTCAGGGTAAGTCCCTTGCACCCTCCATCCCCTACCCCAGCCCCTTGGTAGCACCCGTGTTGCTAAGTCCCCTCTGTGAACCTCTCCGCCTCCAGCCTTGCTTCTGCTGTATGACATCACCAACAAGGCTTCCTTCGACAACATCAGGGTAGGTCCTCCCTTCTCCAGACTCCCACCCAAAAGCAGCCACAGCAAGGTCTATGCAGGCTGAGGCTGCTTCCTGCCCTGTGGAAAGGGGGTGGAGCGTGGAATCCTGCTGCCTTCTGAAAAACACCTGCTTGTGACTCAGAAGTCATATCTGCTGCTTTGTATTTGATGGCCATGTGGGCATGAAAGCCAAGCAGGCGGTTGTGACCCTGTGCCACCTGCATAGCCCTCATTCTGATTCATGAAAGTGTTTCGTGACAAAGTGTTCAAACAGCCCCCACTCCACCCTGGATAATTATCCACAGAGACCAAGGGGAAAAACCCAACCAGAAAAGTCCACACATACATCCAGGGCAAGTTGCAAGAAAGTGACTCAGTCAGGCAGAGTGAGTGGCTGTGTCCTCACAACCAAACCATTAAAGAGACAAAAATTTGATAAATTCAAGCACCAATTTAGTACACAACATTGTTTAGGATTCATGAATTCCCTGACCTGAAGGACAGTTTGCTGACAAGCAAACTAGGAGAATAAAACATCTATATAGAAAAAGGATGGAAAATCCATGGCACTCATGCTGCCACCACCAACCCACGCTTGTGGCAGACATCACTAATCGATCACAGTGCTTTTTTTTTTTTTTTTTTTTTTGAGACAGAGTTTCACTCTTGCTACCCAGGCTGGAGTGCAATGGCGCGATCTCGGCTCACTGCAACCTCCGCCTCCTGGGTTCAGGCAATTCTCCTGCCTCAGCCTCCCGAGTAGCTGGGATTACAGGCACGCCCCACCATGCCCAGCTAATTTTTTGTATTTTTAATAGAGACGGGGTTTCACCACGTTGACCAGGATGGTCTCAATCTCTTGACCTTGTGATCTGCCCACCTCAACCTCCCAAAGTGCTGGGAGTACAGGCTTCAGCCACCGTGCCTGGCGATCACAGTACTTTTGATCACTGAAACCCTTATGTGGTCTTAGAATCTTCAAGAGGACACACCAAGAAATCACTGGTGATAACCAACTGATTTGTTAGATAAGGTCTCCATACAGCTGGATCTTCCACAGAACTGACAGTTGCACAGCATGAAATGGGGAGGGTGAAGCCATTGTGTGAGCCACAAGGAAGGCCACCCAGGCTTGGACAGGCCGGAACAAAGGTACAGATGGGAGAATCCACAGGGCATCATGTTCAAGGTAGTGAGTAACTAGGGATAGTCAAACCGGGCAGAAGAAGGAAGGGGCGGCTTGAGGAGAATGCCAGTCTCAGCATGCCTCTCCCACAGGCCTGGCTCACTGAGATTCATGAGTATGCCCAGAGGGATGTGGTGATCATGCTGCTAGGCAACAAGGTGAGTGGCTCGGGGGCAGGGTCATCCCAGCCCTGCACTTCCTCAGCCTTGGCCAGCCTCATAACCACCCAAGAACAGTTGTCTAAGCATCCTTCCTGAAAAGGACTCTGCAGGCTGCAGCTTGGAGGTCAGACATATCTGGAGGCTTCTGTCCTGCCCACCTGCCCTCTTTAAAGCTCCGGAAAGTCCAACTTGTTGCCTGAGAAAGCAAGGGATGCCCAGTTCTCAGCCCCCTCACAGAGCAGAGTGAACAGGGTCTAGGTCAGGGGCTAAGACTGCAAAGAGTTAGCCCCAACTGCTGTCCCCTTCCAAGACTGGGTCACCACACCCTTTACCAAAGGTGAGATCCCAAAGCTGGTAGCAAATTGGGCGGAAACCCTGGCCCCAAGCTAATCACACCTGCCCGCAGTGCCTTGAGCCACCAGCAGAGGGCAGGCAGTGCCTATGCCTGGGGCAAAATATGGTCTGGCTGGGCCGGAAGCCTCCTTCCCCAGAGTGACCCATTTGGGCTTGACAGGCGGATATGAGCAGCGAAAGAGTGATCCGTTCGGAGGACGGAGAGACCCTGGCCAGGGTAAGTGACTGTGGGACAGGGTGAAGGGTGGGGGAAGCCTGAGGTTGGCCCTGAGGACACACTCTCCCCGGCAGGAGTACGGAGTTCCCTTCCTGGAGACCAGCGCCAAGACGGGCATGAACGTGGAGTTAGCCTTTCTGGCCATCGCCAAGTGAGAGCAGAGCAGGGAAGGGAACTGAGCAGGGCAGGGCGGCACCCTCCAGGAATCCAGCAGGGCCCCGCCCCTAGACACACCTGCATTCTGCAGGCTGAGGTCCATTTGCTCCGGACCATGGGTGGAGGGAGGGGGCTGCTCAGCTCCCCACCCCAGCGGGGCCCAGCCCAGCCCATTGCCTCTTCTTCAAGGGAGCTGAAATACCGGGCCGGGCAGTCAGCGGATGAGCCCAGCTTCCAGATCCGAGACTATGTGGAGTCCCAGAAGAAGCGCTCCAGCTGCTGCTCCTTCGTGTGAATCCCAAGGGGCAGAGAGGACGCTCCGGAGGCCCAGGGGATGCAGCCATCCCCCGCAGGTCTAGCTTATTCCCAGCGCCTGAGCCAATGGGGAGAAAGATGGAGGACCCAGTGCACAGCCCGTTCCTGCCAGGGAGCGGTACTCCAGCTCCTGCTTGAGTTCCTGCGGTCTCCCCATCCACGGGGAGGGTAAAACACTTAGCTTTTATTTTAATAGTACATAATTTAGTACCAAAAAAACCTACCTGGATGCCCAGAAAACCAAGGCTGGGACCTGGTGCCCCCTTTGCTTTCTAGGACTTGCGGGGCTGGACCTCCCTCCTAGACATAACAAAGGTGGTGATGTTATGTCCCCAGCTGCGCCCCAGGGGACACAGATGCACTTTGGGGGTGAGGGCAGGTGATGACTCCACCTCACCCTCAGTTCAGTTGGAGAGAGGCTGAGCTGACCGAAGCCTTCACTGGCTCCTGCCCTCCAGGAGCTTATCTGTGCCCCATCCCCCAAATACCTGAGCCTTTGTGCTGTGAGGGAGACCAAAGCCTCAGGGACGTTAGGGGATACGGGAGATGGGAGGGGGAAGCCAAAGAGCAGAGACTAGGGTCTGACTGGCGACCTCTGGCCTTACGAACACCTCCCTGGCGGCGTGCGCCCCTTTCTCCAGCACACAAGCACATTGGGGCACCTGGAAATACTGGTTCCAGGCTCCTGTTCTCTGGACCTCAGATCCTGGGGAAGCCCCTCCCCGCTGAACCCCTGGCTTAGCTACCTTTCTGCCTGTGCCCCTAAAACCCTAAAAACCTCAGGTCAGAACTAGGAAAAGACTTTTGCTTTTTTTTTTTTTTTTTTTTGAGATGGAGTCTCACTCTGTCAAACAGGCTGGGGTGCAGTGGTGCAATCTCTGCCCACTACAACCTCTGTCCCCTGGGGCTCAAGCGATCCTCCCATCTCAGCCTCCCAAGTAGCTGGGATTACTGGTGTGCACCACAATGCCTGGCTGATTTTTGTATTTTTTGTAGACACGGGGTTTTGCCATGTTGCCTAGGCTAGTCTTGAACTCCTGAGCTCAAGCGACCTGCCAGCCTAGGGTGGGATTACAGGCAGGAGCCACCACGCCCAGCCTAGATGTTTCTTCTTATCCCAATTCTTTGGCAAGCATGCAGCTCCACAGGCGATTTCTTCAAACAGCTGAAATGTTTAGCTTTCCTGGGTTAAGAGCCAGATAAGGAGAAATCCCTTTCCTAGGTTTGGAATGTGTTGTGAACAAAAAGAGAAATCCCTGGCTCCTGGGGCTGGTGCGAGATGAGACTCAGCAAACCCCACCTGACATTTATCCGTTTCAACCCAAGCTCTGCCTCCTCCCTGACCACCCACACCTTTTTTGTTTTGTTTTGTTTTGTTTTTGTTTTTTGAGACTTATTTCACTCTGCAGCCCAGGCTGGAGTGGGGAGCGCAGTGGCGCCATCTCAGCTCCCGAGTTCAAGCGATTTTCCTGCCTCAGCCTCCCAAGTAGCTGGGACTACAGGCACATGCCACCACACCTGGCTAATTTTTTGTATTTTAGTAGAGATGGGGTTTCACCGTGTTGCCCAGGCTGGTCTCAAACTTCTGAGCTCAGGCAATCCGCCCACCTCGGCCTCCCAAAGTGCTAGGATTACAGGCATGAGCCACCACGCCTGGCCACCTTTTTTTTAACTTCTCAGATACCAGGGCCTAAACTGCTTTACCTGCCCTCCCACTGAGTCAGGTTAGGGGGTGGGTGGTCACCCACGGACGAATTAAATCAATGCAGTATGTGTAAAACAAGGCCATGTGGGCACGTCTGGGGTAGAGAGAGGGGCAGCAAGGAGTTCCTGTGGCCTCCTTGGTCACATGTCTCCCGAAGCCCTGACCCCTGCCATTGGAAGTGGACAGGAGACATGAGGTCGTGACCTACAGGCACCTTTTCTGCAGCTCTGTAGGCCTGGGGAGGGGGGGATAGGCAGGAAGAAGTATGTGCTGCACATTTCTGAGGCTACTGCATTTGCTTTCAAGGCAGAAATCTTGCTCTGAGCAGTCAGCGGCTCCCGTTTGGGCCCGATAAGGAAGTTCTCCGTGGCCTCTCCCAGGCACAGCAGGGAGGAGCCTGACATTGCCAGTCTCTTCTGGGGCCCAAGACAGGTTGCAGGAGATCCAATCACCTAGACAGCTCTGGGCCTCTTGCATTTGAGTTTTTCAGAATTAAATTGCAGTATTTTGGAAAGCACATCCTGTCCACTGTTTCTTTGAAGTGAGTGTGGGAGGCATGTCCTGTCGACGGAACTGTCTTTCACTGCCAAAATCATTCCATCCTCCTGAGGGTCAGCTCCCCCTTAACAAACTGTCTCCCTACCTCTGTGACTAGCCTCTCTTTGGCAAGAGGGAGCTAGAAGGCTTATCTTACAGCCCTAACCATTTTTCTTTCTCTGTTGAAAAAAAAAAAAAAAAAAAAAAAACCAAGGCTCTGTTCCCTGTGGAGTGTACCCAGAGGTTGAATACCTGAGTCTGTTCTGCCTCTCTCCATCCCACCTCCCTAGCCAAACGCTGACACCAAAGCCCACGCCATTGCCCTAGGTGTCCTGTCTTCAGTGAGTTGCCCCTCGAGGTCCCAGGCTCTCCACCGAGCCCGCACCTCTGCACCTTCCCAAGCAGGGATCAGAACCTGCACTCCTCTATGCGAGCCCTGGGACAGTGCAAAGGGGATTAGGGTCAGGGTTCCCACAAACGGAAAAATGTTATTCAAACAACTCTGTAGGGTCCGAGGAGGCCCTCAGTCTTAATTCTCAAGACTGCCTGGTGCTCGCTGCCCCGCGGGAGCGGTTGCCCCGGCAACAGCCGCTCCCCCATAAGCGGAGCTGCACCCATGCTTTGGCTACAAGCTGTTAAAGCGTTGGCCAGTGCAGTGGCTCACACCGGTAATCCCAGCACTTTGGGAGGCCGAGGTGGGCGGATCACCTAAGGTGAGGAGTTTGAAACCAGCCTGGCCAACACGTGGAAACCCCGTCACTACTAAAAATACCAAAAAAATAGCCGGGCGTGGTGGCGAGCGCCTGTAATCCCAGCTACTCGGGAGGCTGAGGCAGGAGAATCGCTTGAATCCAGGAGGCGGAGGCTGCAGTGAGCCGAGATCGCGCGACTGCACTCCAGCCTGGCGACAGAGCAAGACTCCGTCTCGAAACAAAAAAAAAAAAAAAAAGAAAGGAAAAAAAAGTTAGGGTCCTTTACCTGAGGGTCTCTCCTCACCCCCTGCCACAGGTAGGGGAAACCAGGCCGGAGCCGGCGGGCCTCACCCCCCAGAACCGAGAACTGAGCGGGCCCCGCCCCTGCCGCCCCAGCGCCGGCCGCTCGGCAACAAACACTTCCACTTCCTGAGCTCTCTGTCTTCGCCCGCCACTGGGCTCCGCGCCGAGCACAGGCCCCGCCCCGCGCGTTTCCATTGGCCGGCGCCGTTCACCCGGCCGCAGCGCCCCGACCCGCGGCCCTCGATTGGCTCGCGGAGTCCCACACCCTCTGCGTGGCCCCGCCCCCGGGGTAAGAAGCCTGGGCGGACTCTGGAAAGCTCAGTCGCCGCGCGGGGCGGGGATTGGTCCGCGCTCCTCGGTCCTCTTCCCAAGACTCCAGGCGGTCGGCGGTTCCCGGGACACCTGCTCGCTTCGCCCGTCCCGCGGTGCTGGGCTTCCCTGCCGCGCTGCCGGTTCTCTGGGCGGGAAGAAGGACTGAGCCGTCCCGTCCCCAACGGAACCCCGAGTGGCGCAGCTGAGCCGTCGCAGGGCGAGATGAGCGCGGACGCGGCGGCCGGGGCGCCCCTGCCCCGGCTATGCTGCCTGGAGAAGGGTCCGAACGGCTACGGCTTCCACCTACACGGCGAGAAGGGCAAGGTGGGCCAGTACATCCGGCTGGTGGAGCCCGGCTCGCCGGCCGAGAAGGCGGGGCTGCTGGCCGGGGACCGGCTGGTGGAGGTGAACGGCGAGAACGTGGAGAAGGAAACCCACCAGCAGGTGGTGAGTCGCATCCGCGCCGCGCTCAATGCCGTGCGCCTGCTGGTGGTCGACCCCGAGACGGACGAGCAGCTGCAGAAGCTCGGCGTCCAGGTCCGCGAGGAGCTGCTGCGCACCCAGGAAGCTCCGGGGCAGGCCGAGTCGCCGGCCGCCGCCGAGGCGCAGGGGGCTGGCAACGAAAATGAGCCTAGCGAGGCCGACAAGAGCCACCCGGAGCAGGTAAGCCGGGCCCGGGCGGCGCCGGCTGGAATGGGGTTGGAGGGGGATCGGGAGGGACCCAGGCGCCCCGGCCGTCCAGCCCCGCGCCCGCCGCCGTCTTTCTGAAAGTCTTAGCTGCGAGAGGGAGACCGCTTCCGCCCGCCGACCAGGCGCCCCGGCAGATCCTAGGCAGGCCTGGGGCTGCGTCCCGCGACCTCTTCTCCTTCCCTGGCTGTCCTGGGAGCCTGAGCGCCTTTGCCACCTGCACCTCTTGTTCCCTGGCCTTTGAGAGGGCGGCGCAGGGGAACCCAGTCGCTCTTCCCTCAGGTCTGTGAGTGTCTGCTCGTAATCCCCCAATCCTGCCCCTCCCTGGCGCCCTCTCCTTGTTCACCCCAGTCCGCAGATGGGCTCGGGAGGAAGGAATCTCCGCCCCAGAGGTGCCAGCTTCGTCCACTACCCCTACTTCAAAAGCTAGAGGAATAGCCTTCCTCCTGTGCGGAGCCCTGGCGAGAGGAGGCCCTCCCGCAGCCTGCCGGTGTGTGCCATCAGCTTCGGTCCTGCTGGACTTCGTTCTCCCGGAGTCCGGTTTAACTTCCATGGGAGAGAAGCCCCACCATCTCAGGGCTGTGTGGGGGTGCTTGGCGGGAGGAGGAGCCAAGGCATCTCTGAGTGGTGGTTCTGGCACCCAGGAGGATTTACGACTCTCAGGAATGTGAGGAGTAAGCGCCTGTGTCAGGGAGGGGAGGGGGAGACCTTGGTAGGAGGGGAAGATGGCTGGGGGGAGGGGAGAGAGCTCCTGAGGCACACGGCGAGCTGGTGGTCTTGCCCTGGCCTTGCCACGCTCACTCTGGTGCCCACACAGCCAGCAGGCTGGTTGCTTTTTGCCCATGTTTCGTGTTTGCCCATGGGATCCCATTTTGGATCAGCTGCAGGAGGGGCAGCTGGCAAAACAGGAGTTGTGCTGAGCCTCCTGTCCCCAGAGAGGAGTGGGGAAGCTTCGGGTGCACACTGGAGGGCAGGGCCTGAGCCTCTCCTAGGGCCCCTTCAACTTGCACCAGCTCTCCCTGGTGGCAGTGTGTTGTGGGAGTGTCCGTGGGGCCAGGAGGATCCTCCGTGGATAGAGAGACCACACAGTTCAGCATTAAGGTGGAAGGCAAAGCCCTAGGGGATCAACTGGTTAGGTGGAAGCGAGGTCACCAGAGGCCTGTCCAGCCAGAGCTGGGTGCTGGGGATGCCAGGGCCACCAGGCTCCCACTTCCTGCCCCTTGCCAAGCTGGCATTGGCGAGGGGAGGGGGAAGGGATCGGAGCACCCGGAGCAAGGAAGGGGTTGACACCAGAGGTTAGGGCCAGTGATCTCCAATCCCAGGGAGAAATCCAGTGTGAACTTTGAGCTGAGTCCGTGGATCGATTTGACAGTCTTTTTTTTTTTTTTTTTTTTTTTTGGACTTTGGCACTCACACAAATACCCCCACCCCTACTACAAGTTGCAGTCTCATTCAGCTCCTCCCTTTGCCCTTTTGGTTATGCTGCTGGGTGCCAGAGGGCCTGGGAGGCTACCGTGGAGGCTGGGCGTAGCACTCACACTCAAAAGCAGTGGCTCTGAGCTTCCTGGGCAAGCACAGAATCCGATTCTTGCAGGTTTCGGGGGACACCTACATTTGTGTGTACTTCCTTAGACCAGGAGATGAGAGGAGAGCCACCAGCAAATCCTGGGGACACTATCACCAGCCAAGTCCCAGGATTTCTGAGCTCTGGTTCTGTGAGGTGAAGGCATTGGATGGTGTGATGCCTGCCTTCTCTAGAACTTTAGAAATGTGAGGTACTCGAGCCCCTTCCTCAGTGCTGAGCTGCACTCCGCCCTGCCCAGACACTTGAATCCCGGCTCCTTCAAACTGACTCAGTCAGCACCACAGAGTCCCTCTAGCAGAAAATCCCACCGTTCTGTGTGTTGAGCCTGCAGATGGCCCATGCGGTTATTGCAAAAAATGTTAACAAACATTGTAAGAGTTCTTTTTTCTAAAACGCATCTCTTTCCTACATAAAGCATCAAATTGAGGTTTGCCAGTTTGTTTTCGTTTGAATCTGTGTGCAAGGTGGGGCTGTTCCCTTATCTTGGTCAGCTCTTAAGTGAATATCTCAGTGGAAAAGCGTGGCACAGAGAGCGGTTGGCTGGGCGGCCTCTTGTTGGGAAGACCAGCTGTGTCCAGAACCACTCAGGACAGAGGCTGAGGAGTGCCTGTAGCACTGGCCGTCCTGCTGGGGAGTCCAGGCCTAAGGAGGTGGAAGTGGCTCTCCAGCTCTGCCCACCGGCTTTGCACATGGCCTTCCCCACATGCCCCATGGGGAGAGAGGAGCAGCGGTACCCGCCCTGGCGCTCCCCTGCTTAAAGCCCTCCTCCCCACATTCACCACCAGTCAGAGGATGAGACCTAAACCCTTGAGCCTGAGTTCATAGTGCCGGCCGGGCAGGCCTGAGCCAGCTGAGCTGTACTAGGCGGAATACGTGGAGCCAAGTTACTTCACTTTGCAAGCCTCCATTTCCTCTTGTGTAAGTTGGGGGTGATGGCAGCTACCTCGGAATGACACGAGGCTGTGTGTAAAGTAAGCAGCTCAGTGCCTGGCACTGAGTGCAGGTTCAGCCAGCCTTTGCAGTTGGTAATGGAATAAATACATATTTCACAATGATCACTGCACACTTCTCCCGGGGCAGCTAGCGCTGGCTGGGTCAGCTTGCCTAACTGGGCAGGTGCCACTGTGGTCAAGCCTGGCACCCACCCAGTCAGTGGCCAATCGATAGTCACTGTTGATTAAGAATGCTATGTTGTGGCCAGGTGTGGTGGCTCACACCTGCAATCCCAGCACTTTGGGAGGCTGAAGTGGGAGGATTGCCTGAGCCCAGGAGTTTGAGACCAGCCTGGGCAACATGACAAGACCCTGGCTCTATTAAATTTTTCTTTTCTTTCTTTTTTTTTCTTAAAGAGTTCTATACTGTTCCATGGCCCTTCTCCATCCGGCAGCCTGTTCTCACCACTGCCTCCTACCCCTGAAACCACACCCAGAGTCTGAATTCCCCTCCAGCCTCTGAGCCTTCACACCCTGACATTCCTGTCCCCTCCCAGGGAGCCTGTCCTTAATCCAGTAGGCAGAGTTAGCACTTCCATTCCTTCACTTTTTTTTTTTTGGAGACAGATTCCACCCAGGCTGGACTGGTGTGGCGATCTTGCCTCACTGCAGCCTGGACCTCCAGGGCTCAAGCAATTCTCCCACCTCAGCCTCCCTAGTAGCTGGGACGACAGGCATGCACCGCTATGCCCAGCTCATTTTTAAATTCTTTGTAGAGATGGGGTTTCGCCATGTTGCCCTGGCCGGTCTTGAACTCCTGGGCTCAGGTGATCTGTCAGCTTCAGCCTCTGCCTCCTCTTTATCCTTACATCTTTTATTGCTCTGAACACATGACATTTTAATCATCTGTTTGTGTCCTTTTTCTCCACTACATGGTAAGCCCAAGAGCAACAACTGTGGCCTATTTGTGCTTCTGTCCCCAGTGCTGTGCTTGGCACACGGTAGGGAGGCTCTCAAAAACAATTTTTGAATTAAGGAATGAATATATAACAACTGTCAGGGATCTTTGTCCTCATTCAACTCATCCCACCCCACCCGGAGATTGGAGTTCCAGATAGAACCTACGCACTCCTCTTTCTTGCCTGCTAGCAGCTTTCATTTGGAAACTAGAAAGCCAAAAGTCTGGTCTTTGGGGTCAGGCAGATCAGTGTTTGAATCCCAGCTCTGCCATGTGCTGGCTCCAGGATCCTGGGAGTTCATTTTTCCTCACAAGCCTCAGTCTCCACCTCTGCAAAAGGCACTGCCCGCAGGGTTATTGGGAAGATTCAGTGACCTGACAGGTGTGTAAATGAAAGTGCCCAGCTCGGGGTGGCTCCCGCCAGCCCTGACCCTGATCCCAGAGAAGGAGAGCAGGCACCCCAGGGAGCAAGGTGGCTGGGTGCACACAGTTAGCCAAGGGCCATCAACCTCTTTCCCACGGTGGCCAGGCTGTTTTACACCAACCAAGTTGGAGCTCTGGTAGGGCAGAACAGAGATTGAGCTGCAGGGTGTTTGTATTTTAAATGGACAGGGTATGTAATTGTTTGTGTATTGGGATCTCTTTCTTTGCGGGCCAGTGTAGCCCCTGGTTCCCACCTTCAGGCTCCTGTGAACTCAGTAATTCTGGAGATGATTATCTTGGAGTTACAGCGTGGCTTCCTGGCCAGGTGCAGTGACTTGTGCCAATAATCCCAGCACTTTGGGAGGCTGAGGTGGGAGGATCGCTTGAGCCCAGGAGTTTGAGACTGAGACCAGCCTGGGCAACATAGTGAGATCTTGTCTCTACCAAAAAAAAAAGGTTGGGGGAGGGGAGGGAGTGAACAGGGAATTCCTTCTCAAGAAACTCCGTATGTCTAAATGGGGTCCTCCCCTTTCCCAGAGTTTCCATCTCAGTGGTCCTTGGGAAAGTGGGGCAGGGAATTAAAGAAATAAGAAACTCGGCCGGGCGCGGTGGCTCAAGCCTGTAATCCCAGCACTTTGGGAGGCTGAGGCAGGTGGATCACAAGGTCAAGAGATCGAAACCATCCTGGTCAACATGGTGAAACCCCGTCTCTACCAAAAATACAAAAGAAGTAGCTGGGCATGGTGGCACATGCCTGTAATCCCAGCTGCTCAGGAGGCTGAGGCAGGAGAATTGCCTGAACCCAGGAGGCAGAGGTTGCAGTGAGCTGAGATCGCGCCATTGCACTCCAGCCTGGGTAACAAGAGCGAAACTCCGTCTCAAAAAAAAAAAAAAAAGAAAAGAAACAAGCTGGGCACAGTGGCTCACGCCTGTAATCCTAACACTTTGGGAGGCCAAGGTGGATGGATCACCTGAGGTCAGGAGTTTAAAACCAGCCTGGCCAACATGGTGAAACCCATCTTTAAAAACAAAGAAGAAAACTCAAGCTGGCATGGTGGCTCACACCTGTAATCCCAGC